GATTCGTTGTCGCAAAGTCCTCATATGCTATTCTATAAAGGAAAATGACAATCGAATACAGTTGGAATTTTTAGTCTCCCTTAGAGTCATTGCATATAATTTACAAAATATGTATACGTCGATATTATTGCTTAAGTAAATATTCTATTTTTGAATGGTGTTATTTTTTCGTTTCAATAATCAACAAAACAAGGCAAAATATCCATATAAACATATATCCAAAAGATCAATGTTGTACCTCAACACAGCAACTCATAACAAATTTTCAAAATGTCCTCCGCTTGATTCTACGCACGCATGCATCCGTCGGAGCATTGACTGGCGGACCCTTTCAAATACTCCCACACAGTGTCGAATGGTTTCGCAGGACCCCACGATACGTTGATGAAGCGTCTCCGCATTACTAATGCCTGCTGCATAAGCCAATTGTTTTCGGTGGCCCCACAAATAAAAATCCAAAGGATTGAGGTCGGCGGAACCTGCAAGTCATTGAACTATTCCTCCCCTACCTAACTATATTTGTGGTAGATCTCGACCAGTTCATCGCGAACAATATGGAGTGCCATAATGCATGAACCACATGCGTTTTCGTATTAGCAGGAGTACATCCTCTAGCAGGTCTGGAAGTGTGTTCGAAATAAAGTCCCTGTAGACAGTTCCTATAAGACGTAGTGGGAGAACATATGGACCTACTAGATAGTCACCTACAATTCCAGCACAATAAATATGTTTATTTACATTATTTACATTATTCGGACAGTTATCCTCATCTCCATTGCCATATTCACAATGTTTCGTCCATTGTACGCTCCGGCCTTCTTTAGGTGATTGTAATTTTTCTTCAATATCTGTCTATATCTCTAAGATGAGGTATTATGATTGCTTGCATTATTTACATTATTTCAACTGTTATCCTCATCTTCATTGCTATATTCACAACGTTTCGGCCGTTATACGCCCCGGCCTTCTTCAGGTGATTGGAATTTCAAACCGAACTCTTTATTTTGTCCACCGGGATAGATTGTTCTAGTTCAACGTTCCATGCCCCTTCCGAATATGGCAATGAAGATGAGAATAACAGTCCGAATAATGTAAATAATGTAAATAATCATAATACCTCATCTCAGAGATATAGACAGAAATATGTTTACATGAACATTTTACCTTTTTCATTATTTGAAATCATCGGTGATTATGATGGTATATACTATTGAATAATGATATGTTTTAACTGTTTGTTTAGTAATACTAATAACATTACGACAGAGAAATTGTTTTAGTTTTAAATTTGTGGGCTCAACAGGAAAGTACAATGATACTTTATAGAAAAAAAGCTAATCCATTTATATCTAAATATATATGAACACTGATATAAAACCTGAGATTTTGATTGCTTTTCTAACCTAGAAGACCAAAGAAGAAAATACTAAAGAACTTCAAGGAGTCCGTGCTGTTCTTTTTCGAATATACTGGAACGAGGAATGCAATATTTATGCTAATATAATGATATATAATGTGTCCACAAAGTTCGTGTGCACTTTAAAAAATTTATAACTTTATTTGTATTTGCGATAGAAATAATCTGTAAAAAATGTTATAAAGTTTAATGTACTTAGTTTTAAGTATAGCTAAAATAACTTATGTGATTTCAGGCATTACTGTAAATCAGTTGGCAAATGTTTTCCGTGAACTGCAAAATCGTATTACCCTTTGTATTGCTAATGATGGAGAACATGAGGAAACTTAAATAAAATTTAATAAAACTTTAAAAAACAAATATAGATTTACTTCTTTCTAATTCTTTTCACAAATTATTTCTATCGCAAATACACATAAAGTTATAATTTTTTTAAAGTGCACACGAACTTTGTGGACACCCTGTATAGCATAAAGAGTAACCAACTGTAGAAGGATGTGTTCCTGTTTTATATATTATGGAAAAACGATTGATAAAGTACGCCACAAACAACAGTTGGAACTGCTAGATAACCTTGACATTTTTTAATCGAGTTCACTCTAAGCCAGGCAGGAAAGCCACTAAGCTACAAGGGGTTAGCGGGTGTGAAAGAATTAGGAACAGAAATATTACTAAGGAACAAAAGAAGAGTAATGAGGAGGACAATAGATTGCGATTAAACTCAGACCTTGCATATGACGCAGCATTCTTTTATGGTCAAAAGTCACGCCTTCTACTTAGGTTTCGACTAGCTAAAGAGGTTGGGGTGTGGTGAGAATCTCTAAGCATTTTTAGGGCTTGGAATAAAACTAACCTCGAAGGTGATGGGAGATCGTTGAATTAGAGAGAAATATTCCACTCAAATTAATTTGCGGACATCTTGAACAGAATTACCCTGTAATAGTATTATTTAATATATACTTTCTAATGATAGGATTTGATATTTTCCGTCTAAAGATATTTAATTGTTAAACTTCTAAAATTAATATTTAATATTTAATTTCAAATGATATTATGTAACATTAACTTCTAACTGTAATATTTAATTTCAAATGATATTATGTAACATTAACTTCTAACTGTAATATTTAATTTCAAATGATATTATGTAACATTAACTTCTAACTGTAATATTTAATTTCAAATGATATTATGTAACATTAACTTCTAACTGTAATATTTAATTTCAAATGATATTATGTAACATTAACTTCTAACATAATATTTAATTTCAAATGATATTATGTAACATTAACTTCTAACTGTAATATTTAATTTCAAATGATATTATGTAACATTAACTTCTAACTGTAATATTTAATTTCAAATGATATTATGTAACATTAACTTCTAACTGTAATATTTAATTTCAAATGATATTATGTAACATTAACTTCTAACTGTAATATTTAATTTCAAATGATATTATGTAACATTAACTTCTAACTGTAATATTTAATATGTGCCTTCGCATCAATCCGAGGTTCAAATAATTATTTCGCTGTTTTTGTTCTTTCTTAATTAATTTCCTTTTGTAGGATTGTTACTTACAAGTCTGAGATGATGGCGAAGTTACCTAAAGCTATTTTGACTGTAAAAGCGTTGACATGAATTATTGTATAAAATACAATTTTGGCACAAGGCCAAGAATGGGAGAAAAAGCTGAGGCTGGTCGTCACTTACTATCTTATACCTAGCTAATCCGATTCACGACCCATTCACTCGTTACAATCCGGCTGATCGGTTGAACTCTCTGCCTTCGAGGGTGGGGGAGGAACCCGAACGAGGCTACGCCGAAGGGCGGAGTCTCTTTCGGGGAGGTAAACCTACACTGAACACGTTTATACGGGTTCAAAGGGCATATTTTTGGCCGAGCCCACGGGCTCGGAGATCCCACGTAAACCGGCCTTGTGCCACATGATGCCCTCGTGGGGGGGGAGTGACTAAATACCGTTCAGTTTTTCGTTCATGACGGTGAGTGGAGTATTGGAGATCGAGGTGAGAAGCATTCTACCTTTCTTTTCCTGTTTGTGTGCTTCCAACCAATTTTTGCAATTCAAGATCACCACATGGCATAAAAATTAACAATTATAAAATTCTATATATAAAACTCTGTTCATGATACCTAATGAACGGGGTTGGGGGGGGTTAATGAACCCAAACACAAAATAAAATATCAACTACAAAAGCGTTGACATTAGCGTTTTCACTTGATGTTTGTTTGCGCCCAAGACTGAAGTAAAATTAAATCATTGCTAAAAATTAAATCTTTGCTAAATAATAGACACAAAATAAATCAACTACTTTCATATGCGGAACTTGAGTGCATCTTATTTGGCTAAATGTGATTTGCAATTTTTAAAACAAGTTTCCATCTGATTAGTCGCAGCAAGTAGAAAGTAATTGGTTTAAACCAAAAGCATTGTTTCTTGAGCCAGAAGAAAAACCCAGAAGCATTTCCGGGACTACAAACTAACATTAATCTTTAATTTGATTATTTGTAAAAATTAAAAAAATGTCTGATGTTTTTATTTAAACTTATTCTGTAAGATAATAGGATAATAATAATGAACAACGGTACAAACAGATAATAGCACAAAGTTGTTATCAATAAAAACACACAAGTTATCACGTTAAAAAATACAGTGTTCAAAGTCAAACATTAGGTCTTATTATTCTTATTCGTTTCGACTGATATATATATATATATATATATATATATATAGATAGATAGATAGATAGATAGATAGATAGATAGATAGAAACAGACAAATTCAGAGAGATATGAACATAGATAGATGAACGTTAGCCTGAGAAGGCACAGTGTGACATTTTCCTAAAGGTTAGCATAAGGTTTAATAGAGATTAGTTTAGATTTGGGGGCGTTAAAATTAACAAGCCATCTTATTCGCCAGTTAACAAACTGAAGGCCGTCGTGGACATCAGCTGCCATTTTGACTTCATCGAACTCATCAGATTTATTATCGAGACAGGACTAAATGGTTGCATCATCAAAACGTAGATACCAAGTTGAAAGGTGAAGCCATTGGTGAGGTCATTAATGAAAATTAAAAAGTAGGACCAAAAAGAGAGCACTAGGGAACACCCACATTAGTACGAAAAGATCAGGATGAGACAGAGAGACTGTTTCACTGTATCACAGCTCATCAGTGTGGTAGACATCCGGTTGCCTCTAGCTAGGATCGAAACCCGACTGAATTGGCGTCAGTCGGAGATTCTACCCCAAACCATTGACGCACCAGCAGGGATGAAGGTGAATTTAAGCGTATTTATTTTTTGATAAACACACAGTGATTGAGAGAACTCGATTTACTTCACCGAATATATATATATATATATATATATATATATATATATATATATATATATATATATATATATATATATAATCTTGGTAATCCGTATGAATAATTCCAAGGAGGATGAAATTCGTTGAGCTCAATATTAAGTAAGTGCGAATAATTTAATTTTAATAAAAAACCAGACCAATTTAAGGTTCCATCTCTAATTTCGACCATGTCTT